TGTTTTTTCTTGGTCATGGGGGTTTTCTGTGGGAAATTTGGCCCAATTCTATCATTGCTGGGGTTCAGAATGCTCTTTGATTGTTGGTGAACTATAAATCCCAGCAGCTACAATTCCCAAATGTCAATGTCCAATTTCCCCAAACTCCACCAGTGTTCACATTTGGGCATATTGAGTATTCATGCCAAGTTTGGTCCAGATCCATCATTGTTTGAGTCCACAATGGTCTGTGCATGGATGTAGGTGAACTACAACTCCAAAACTCAAGGTCAAAGTCCACCAAACCCTTCCAGTATTTTCTGTTGTTCATGGGAGTTCTGTGTGCCAAGTTTGGTTCAATTCAATTATTGGTGGAGTACAGAATGCTCTTTTATTGGAGATTAACTATAAATCCCAGCAACTACAACTTCCAAATGACAAAATCAACTCCCTCCCCCAAACCACCCCAGTAATAAAATTTGGACGTATCGGGTATTTGTGCCAAATTTGGTCCAGTGAGTAAAAATAAAAATACAATTTACATTACGATTCATAGCAGTAGTAAAATTACAGTTATGAAGTAGTGATGAAAATAATTTTATGGTTGGGGGTCACCACAAAATGAGGAACTGTATTAAGGGGTCACGGCATTAGGAAGGTTGAGAAACACTGCTCTAATCTGTCAAGATCGTTTTGAATTCTGCTCCTGTCCTCTGGACTATTGGCTAATGGCTATCCCTCCCAGTTTGGTGTCGTCTGCAAACTTGATGATCATGCCTTCTAGCCCTTCATCTAAGTCATTAATAAAGATGTTGAATAGGACCGGGCCCAGGACAGAACCCTGCGGCACTCCACTTGTCACTTTTTTCCAAGATGAAGAGGAAGCATTAGTGAGCACTCTCTGTGTTCGTCCACTTAACCAATTACAGATCCACCTCACCGTAGTTTTGCCTAGCCCACATTGGACTAGTTTCCTTGCCAGAAGGTCATGGGGGACCTTGTCGAAGGCCTTACTGAAATCCAGGTACGCTACATCCACGGCATTCCCCGCATCTACATGGCCATATAGCAACAACCCAGTGATTCCGGCCACGAAAGCCTTCGACAATATATTGAAAAACTATCGCAAAATATGCTGCAGGATGTCCCGCAAAAACAAAGTTTGTGCAGGTTTAATTTTTCATGCTTTTATTATAGAACCAATTAGGAAATGACATTTATAATCCAGGAACAAAAAAATGTTACATAGTATAATAGGACTTGAGTATCTATAGATTTTGCTATCCATCAAGGGCTTGGAATAAAACCTGAACAGATACCACTGTATATATTTTGTTACTTTACACAAAATGCATACCAGGACCATCTATTTCTTTCTTCCCTGCCAGTCTTGCCCCTTGACCCAGTGCTACTTAAATCAGTGGTCCCTGAAGCACTGACAGTTTACAAGCCATCAGTTGTGAGTTCCTGGGAAGTTTCTGGGAAAGAAAGAAAAAAACTCGTATCTAGTTAATGAGCACCGATATGGTAGCAGTCTATGGAAAACTAGTCACAGGTCCGCAGTTTGGGTGTCCTCCTGGACTCATCACTTACGCTTGAGGCACAGGCATCGGCGGTGGCTGGGAGGGCCTTTGCACAATTAAGACTTGTGCGCCAACTGTGACCATACCTCGCAAAAGCAGATCTGGCCAGGGTGGTCCATGCCTTAATCACCTCCATATTGGACTACTGTAATGCACTCTACATGGGGCTGCCCTTGAAAACGGCTCGGAAATTTCAGTTGGTCCAACGGGTGGTGGCCAGGTTGTTAACTGGTGCTCCTTACAGGGAGCAGTCAACCCTCCAGTTTAAGGAGCTCCACTGGCTGCCATTTATTTTCCGGACCCAATTCAAGGTGCAGATTCTTACCTACAAAGCCCTGAACAGTTTGGGACCTGCCTACCTGCGTGACCACATTTCTGTGTACAAACCCATGTCCACGGAATGCTGCTCAGCGTTTCCTTCATTTTTTGGAAATCAGCTCTCCTAAAGTCCAAAATGCGGGTTTGACTTGTCTTAGTTTCGGCCTTCCTTTGTACCTCAAATTGCAGGAGCACATGGTCACTTGCCCCTAAGGATCCTACCACTTCGACCGCATCGATCAGGTCCTCCGCATTTGTTAGGATGAGATCAAGAGTAGCCAATCCCCTTGTTGCCTCTTCTACCTTTTGGACCATGAAATTGTCTGCAAGGCAAGTGAGGAATTTGTTGGACCTTGTACTCTTGGCCGAGTTTGTTTTCCAGCAAATATCGGGATAGTTGAAATCGCCCATGACTACTACATCTCTTCTCTGTGCCTGTTTGGTCAACTGTTGGCAGAAGACTTCATCAAGTTCTTCCTCCTGGCTTGGGGGTCTGTAGTAGATGCCTACAACGACATCTTTTTGAGTCCCAGTTCCCTTGATTCTTATCCAGATGATTTCAAGCTGGTTTCCCAGATTTCTGTCTTGAATCTCTTCTGCAGCATAAGAGTTTTTGACATATAAGGCTACTCCGCCTCCTCTCCCCTTTGTTCGGTTTCTGTGAAAGAGGTTATACCCCTCGATATCTACATTCCAGCGATAGGAGTCATCCCACCAGGTTTCAGTGATCCCTATGATATCATATTTGTGGTGTTGTGCTAAAAGTTGGAGTTCGTCTTGTTTATTTCCCATGCTCTGTGCATTAGTGTAAAGACATGTGAGCCCCTGGGATCTTCCCTTGAGCTGTTTAATTGGGATTATTGTGCTTTTGGTACTTGGTCCTTGTTGTGTTTGTGCAGCCCTCCGTTTAGCCTTCTGGCGATTCCCAGACATTATGGGTAAAGTAGTGTTCGCAAGGCTGTTGTCCCCCTCCCCCGGTGGACCTAGTTTAAAGTGCGTCTAATGAGGTTTGCGAGTCTGTGAGCAAAAAGGTGTTTTCCTACTTGTGTGAGATGCACCCCATCCCTTGCCAGTAGGCCATCCTCCTGGAAAAGCAGGCCATGGTCGAGGAAGCCAAAGCGTTCCTCCTGACACCATTTTCTAAGCCAGTCATTGACCTGTACTATTTTTCTGGCTCTTGTGGGTCCGTGTCTTACAACAGGGAGGAGGGATGAAAAGACCACCTGTACATTACATTCTTTTAGCTTTGCTCCTAGAGCTCGAAAATCATTTGTGATCTTTTGAAACGTATGCCTTGCAGTATCATTGGTTCCTACATGAATCAACATGAGGGGAGGACAAATCAACATGAGGGTATAGGCATTGCATAGCATAAACTCTGTTGGTGGATATTTATATTCTTCTTCTTAGTTGTTGTCTGAGTGTGTTGTTGTCCGAGTGTGTTGGCCTTCCAAGTGTAGTGTCTTGGCAGTGGATACATAGGTGACTGTGGACCTCTATTCTTGACCCTCATGTTCTTCCACAGTGAGAGCATTGGTTTCCAGATAGAAGGTGGTCAGGGTTGGCTTGACACACCTTCCTCTTGGCACGTTTCTCCCTTTTGCCCACCATTTGTGCCTCTTCAAATTCCACAGCACTGCTGGTCACTGCTGACCTCCAGTTAAAGTGCTTGAGGGCTAGGGCTTCCCAGTACTCAGTGTCTATGGCACAGTCTTAAGGATAACTTTAAGCCCATCTTTAAATTTCTTTTCCTGCTCACCAACATTCTGTTTTCCATTCTTGAGTTGGGATAATAAGTGCTTTGGGAGGTGGAAATATTGTGATTGAGCATTCGGACAACATGGCCAGTCCAGAGGAGTTTATGGCATAGGAGCATCACTTCAATGCTGGTGGTCTTTGCTTCTTCCAGCACGCTGACATTTGCCTGCCTGTCTTCCCAAGAAATTTGAAGGGTTTTTTGGGGGGCAACACTTATGGAATCATTCCAGTAATTGAGTGTGACTTCTATTGACAGTCCACGTTTCACAAGTGTATAACAGGGTTGGGAGGACATGGTGATGTAGTATCTTGAACATTGATGGTCATGCATGTCTTGTTTTAAAAACAGAATAAAAGTTCTAAAAGCCACCTGGAAAAATAATTCTGCTTTAAGCTAATGCAGCAGGACAGCAGCAGAAAGTCCTCTGTTTTCTGTTGCTGTTCTGCTGATAAAATGCACACCAGCATATTTAGTAGTCACATGATGGACAGATGTGCTTCCCTATGAATTAGAAGAATAATGCTAACTCACAACAATTTAGAAAATACCAAGCCCTGATCTATAGCCACCAGAATTAAAGAATACACAGCACTCCAGGCACTCTTGGGTTGCACCTCCTATTGATTTTAGCTAGCAAAGCCAATGGTTAGGATGATTACCATTACAGTCTAACATCTGAAGGTCTACATGTTCTCCATTCCTGACACAGACCACATTGCTCATTTGTACATCTGACAAAAAATGTCAATCCTGATGTCTACATACACCTGAAAGCTGGGATTTTCATGTTTTGTTACATTTTTAGAGTCAACCATCAAGCAAAGGCAAGGCCACCACTCCCTCCCCTTATCACTTGACCCTGAAGGTGGAGCCTTGGGAGTGCCCCTTTTCTGGGTTTGAGCATGGTGAATGCATACTACGTGGTCAAGAGTGGAGTTATCTCTCTGCCATGCATTGTGGTTTCTGAGTTAACCTGCCAGAGGGCAGGCACCCAGCAGCTGAACAAGTTTCCTTTTCTGTTTGTTCTCAGGGTGTTCCTTTCTTGTATTGTTTCCTGTGGGTGAGACTGTCCTCATGCCATTCAGTCAGGTGCAGGGAGGGCTACCTGCATAGAGGTTTGTGTTTTTTCTGCCTCCCTACTTCCCTGACGGTCTAGATCTTCTTGCTTGCTGCCTGGGGCAATTTGATCCTATCTCTTGGTCTTTGGTTCTAGTTATTTTTGAAGGTTGGCACCTTCAGCTTTTTCCCTCTCAATTCTCCATTCCCCGCCTTCTTGGTGACTTGCTTCTAGGACAGCAATGCCATACACCTACCGGGACTCCAGCCCGCGGCCTCCTCCAGTGCCCCAAAGCGCTCGTGCCACACACTCCACTGGCCAAACATACAAGGAGCTGAAAGCTGAATGCCTTCAGAAAGGGATACTCTTTGAGGACTGTGATTTTCCAGCCAACGATGCTTCCCTTTTCTTCAGTGAGAAGCCTCCTGTCCCCTTCGTATGGAAAAGGCCTGGGGTGAGTACAAAGATTACTTTCTTTGTATCTTATCCTGTAGAATTTGATTCAGAAACAGACTTTTATTTATTGAACTGTTCAGATCCTCTCACACAATATTATAGGGAGACAGTTTGGTTGTGTTCACAAGGAGGGGAGGTGGTAATGGTTGGGATCCTGTTAGTTAGTCTGAGTTAGAATAGACCTATTCAATAAATTGTTACATGTAATTTAATTACTCAATTTCTGTTTTACATACCTTTTTCTGTTCATTTTCATTATATATATATATGGAGCCCCCGGTGGCGCAGCGGGTTAAACCCAGCTGAGCTTCTGAACTTGCTGACCAAAAGGTCAGCAGTTTGATTCCTGAGAGCCCGGTGAGCTCCTGCTGTAAGTCCAAGCTTCTGCCAACCTAGCAGTTTGAAAACATGCAAATGTGAGTAGATCAATAGGTACTGCTCCAGTGGGAAGGTAGCAGTGCTCCATGCAGTCATGCTGGCCACATGGCCTTGGAGGCATCTATGGACAATGCCAGTTCTTCAGCTTAGAAATGGAGATGAGCACCACCGTCCCTCTAGAATCGGACACAACTAGACGTAATGCCAAGGGGAAATATACACAGAGACACATACATATATGTAAAATCCACTTAACTCAATGATTCTATTCCTAAATGGCAAATCACTGGAATACACAGCTGTTGCATTCTCTGCCTGTTGTATGATTTTTCTCTAGTCATTTAGTCCAATGTTCCCAATGTGACCAGTTCTTTCACTATAGGGTTCAAGTCACTTTTCCTTACCTTTCACTTTTTTACCCTTTGTCTTGGAAACATATTGGCCCTTGTCTTGTTGGTAAATGCCCCAAATTCTATATTAATATGATTGTCCTCCATAGTTATAGTGCAGAAATGATAGAAGATATATATCGTGGATGGCAAAATATAGCCTACTTAACTGGCCCGTGAGATCTCTTCCAACTCTTTGATTCTATGATTCTATAACTATGCCCCCAAATTTCTCAAAAAAGGTCATTTATTTATCTATTTATTTATTTGCTGAAATATTTATTCATTGCCTGTAAGCTTTTCACTGATGCCCAGAAGATAAAAAGAGATAGAACTGTATTTTAAAACTAATCAATGCAATATATTAAAAAAATAAAGCGCACAGAATTTAAAAAGCTCCTAAACTAAACTGATTTTAGGGACTCAAGTCCATACAAAAAATATAATCCTGGCTACGTAATGGGAGCTCACAAGGTATATAGCCAGTCTGACTTCTCTTGGAAGAGGCTTCCAGTCTCCTGGTAGAGAAAATGGATGGCAGGAGGTGGTTGGACTAGATGGCCTCTGGGGTTTTCCATTTGAATACGGTTAAGTTTAAGTTGGTTAAACTAGTCTTCATTTTGAATATTCTATTGTTCTTTATTTCTTTTTTTGCACTACAAACAAGGTATGTGTAGCCTGCATATGAATTTGTTCAGGTTTTTTTTTTTTCAATTAGTTCACACAAACATTCTCCAACCATCTGCCACTGGCCCACCCTGTCAAATTTTAAAAAGCAATTTGGCCCCTGTGTCCAAAAGTTTGCCATGCCTGGTTGATACAGATAATATAGATACAGATACAATAATATAATATAATATAATACAATACAATATAACATAAACATTTATTGGGGCTCCACAAGAAACTTTTCCTTCAAAAAGGGCTCTGTGACTGATATAAATTCAGAACTACTGCTCTAGACCATTCCAGAATCCATTTGCCAGCATGGTCACTGGCAGCAAGTATTTACATATTTAGTCTGGCATTTTTGGATTTAATTCGAATTAGTGCTCTTCAATATTTCAACTATGTAAATAACTTACTATTACATTAGATATTCTAGTACTCCAAGTATGCTTACATTGTGTGTCTCTGTGTGTACACACACACACTCATATGTATGTGATTAATTTTGTTATGCAAATAACTCTGGTTGTTTTTCAAAAGCAAGCCAGGAGAAGAAAAGAAGGAACTCATAACACAACAACTGTTCCCATCATATCCCCCTCTATCTAACTTTTTATTATCTGTATAGTTGATATAACTTTGTGTGCACTTTAAGAACGAGGGATAAGCGGATTGACAGTGTTTTATTGTGAATTTTCTACATCCCCACCCATGCTACTATCCATTCCCTGGTATTGGTATCTGTTAACCCTTCTTGTAACCAGTGGTAGTATAGGTAAGGAATGGAGTGGACTGAGGAGTCCCGGAAGTAATATAGCATGGGATGAAGCTATGAATGTAGACTGCGTCATGGAGGAGGGAGGGTGTTCCAGTGGCCGGGGAGCCCCCATAGAAGTCGTGGTGGGGAGAGGGAGATACGGGAAAGGGAGACCTTTAATTCGGCCTAGGGAACGTGGATCAACATTAGTAATTCCAAAGTGGTCTCCTGATGTGGGAAGTTGGTGTAACCAGGAAGGCGGTCCCTCCGGGTTGAAGGTGGTGCTGTTGAACGCCAGATCTGTCAATGGTAAAACAGCTTTCATCCAGGATTTGATCCTGGATGAATGGGCAGATCTGGCGTGCATCACAGAGACCTGGCTGGATGAAGCTGGAGGAGTGAACTTGACCCAGCTTTGTCCACCAGGTTTCTCTGTGCAGCACCAACCGAGATCCGGAGGGCGGGGAGGCGGGGTTGCAGTGGTCTATAGAGATTCCATTCGTCTGACCAGGGCCCCATCCCGCAGTCAACAAATTTTGAATGCGTCCACCTGAGGGTGGGTGACCGGGACAGATTAGGGATTCTGTTAGTGTACCGTCCACCTCGCTGCACTACAGGCTCCCTGACTGAGCTAGCGGGGGTGGTCTCGGACCTGGCGTTGGAGTCCCAACGGCTGCTTGTGCTGGGGGACTTCAATGTCCACGCCGAGGCCTATCGGGAGCGGCTCAGGACTTCATGTCTGCCATGGCAACCATGGGGCTGTCCCAACAGGTATCTGGCCCCACCCACAGTGCTGGACATACATTGGACTTGGTTTTCTGCCAGGGATGGGAGGAAGGTGGCGGTGTTGAGGAGTTATCCATCTCTCCGTTGCCATGGACCGACCACCACCTGGTCAGCTTTAGACTCACTGCACCCCCTAACCTCTGCAGAGGTGGAGGACCCATTAAGTTGGTCCGCCCCAGGAGGCTTATGGATCCGGATGGATTCCTGACGGCTCTTGGGGAATTTCCCGCCTCCTCGGTTGGTGATCCTGTCGATGCCCTGGTCGCTCTCTGGAACGGGGAGATGGCTAGGGCAATAGACACGATCGCCCCAGAACGTCCCCTCTCGAGTAGCCGAGCTAAACCAGCTCCTTGGTTTACTGAGGAGCTGGCAGCGTTGAAGCGAAAGAAGAGGGTACTAAAGAGCGTGTGGCGTTCGGATCCGAGCGAGCCAAATCGAACACGGTTTGTGTCCTTTTTAAGGGCATATGCCGCGGCAATAAAAGCCGCAAAGAAGACTTTCTTTGCGGCCACTATTGCGTCTGCAAAGAACCGTCCGGCTGAACTGTTCCGAGTTGTCAGAGGCCTGTTAAAACCCACCATGCAGGATGGGTGCCCTGATGACTCGGCAGCTCGCTGTGAAGCCTTTGCTCAGTTCTTTGCAGACAAAGTCGCTTTGATCCGCTCTGGTCTGGATACCATATTAACGGCAGTCTCTGAGGATGTAACACGAGCATCTGCTTGTCCTATTTTGATGGATTCATTTCAATTGGTTCAATCCGAGGATGTGGACAAGGTGCTTGGAGGAATGAGAGCTACCACATGCATCCTAGACCCCTGCCCATCCTGGCTTCTGAAGGAGGCCAGAGGGGGATTGGCCGAGTGGGTGAAGGTGGTGGTTAATGCCTCCATTCGGGAAGGCATATTTCCAGCCAGCTTAAAGCAAGCTGTGATAAAACCGCTGTTGAAAAAACCATCACTGGACCCCACTCAATTCGTCAACTATCGGCCTGTTTCCAATCTCCCCTTCTTGGGCAAAGTCATGGAACGTGTGGTGGCCTCACAACTCCAGGCATTCTTGGTAGACACGGATTATCTGGATCCGGCACAGTCTGGCTTTAGGCCGGGGCATGGTACCGAGACAGCCTTGGTCGCCTTAGTGGATGATCTGCGCCGGGAGCTCGACAGGGGGAGTGTGTCCCTGTTGGTGCTGCTGGACCTCTCAGCGGCCTTCGATACCGTCGACCACGGTATCCTTCTGGGACGCCTCGCGGGGATGGGTCTTGGAGGAACTGTTTTACAGTGGCTCCGCTCATTCCTCGAGGGTCGGTCTCAGAAGGTGTTACTGGGAGACTCCTGTTCAACCCCACAACCTTTGTCTTGTGGGGTTCCTCAGGGTTCAATATTGTCTCCCATGTTGTTCAACATCTACATGAAGCCGCTGGGTGAGATCATCCGGAGTTTCGGGGTGCGATGTCATTTGTACGCAGATGATGTTCAACTCTGTCACTCCTTCCCACCTGTCACTAAGGAGGCTGTCGAGGTCCTGAACCGGTGCTTGGCCGCTGTGACGGTCTGGATGGGGGCGAACAAATTGAAATTGAATCCAGACAAGACAGAGGTACTCCTGGTCAGTCGCAAGGCCGAACAGGGTATAGGGTTACAGCCTGTGTTGGATGGGGTCGCACTCCCCCTGAAGACGCAGGTTCGCAGTTTGGGTGTGATCCTGGACTCATCGCTGAGCCTGGAACCCCAGGTTTCGGCGGTGACCAGGGGAGCATTCGCACAGTTAAAACTCGTGCGCCAACTGCGCCCGTACCTTGGGAAGTCTGACTTGGCCATGGTAGTCCACGCTCTGGTTACATCCCGTTTAGACTACTGCAACGCTCTCTACGTGGGGTTGCCTTTGAAGACGGCTCGGAAGCTCCAATTAGTCCAACGGTCGGCAGCCATGATACTAACTGGAGCGGAGCGCAGGGAGCACACAACTCCTCTGCTGCACCAGCTCCACTGGCTGCCGATTTGCTACCGGGCTCAATTC